ATGTTTATAAAGTTGGGGGTTGGTAAAATTTGTTTTTTAAAGGAGAATAATATTTCTTATTTCCAAGACATAGGCTAGAATATGTGATTACTAAGTATAGTAATCACACCGGTGCGGTGACTGACTGCCACACATACTCCTCAAAACATTAGATTCATCCGCGTTGGAGCCGAGCCGCCGCACAACCCACGCAAGGAAGATAATTCCACAAACAGCTGGTTTTCAAACGGAGATGCGCGACAGAGGCAAAACTTGCGGACTGCAGCTTTAATCAAACAACAAAAGAGAAAAAAAGTCTCTCACTGCTCTTGACTATTCCACTTTTGTAACTTTAATAAGAGTAAATATGTATTTAATTTACTCAATGAAGACTATGCAGTATTTTTATACATTTGATTAATTTATACAATGCTTAGCATTTATTTATTTGTTCTCCTCTAGTTTTTTTTGTTGTCCTATTGCTTATAATTAGTTTATTCTTATTTTATCACTAACTGTTTACTTGTCTTCAGTGAGTTTGAGTTTAATTTATTTATGCTAGTAGTTTTTTGTGATCTTGACATTGGTGACGAGGATTAAATTTCTATGGTATCAAAAATGTTGATATCATAAAATCCTTATGGCATCGTTAAATGTTACGATAAACTTTCAATATTTAATTCATCTGTTAAATAAATGTTATGATAAACTTTCAATATTTCAGTAATCTGTTAAATAAATGTTATGATAAACTTTCAGTATTTCAGTAATATGTCAAGCTTATAACCGTTAATTAGCCTGATGTGGCCGATTTTTTTTTTGTTTGTTTGTTTAAAGTTGTTAGTGTTATTTTCACCAAATCTAAAGCTTGCTAGCGTAATTATTATTCCAAACACAGCTTGTATAACACTACTAACATTACTATTTTGCCAACGAATGCAGCTTTACTATCATAACCACAACAGAAAAAAAAATTTTGGTGGGGGGGGTTCATCCATGATGAGTTTGAATCCCTGCTAGTTACTAATGCTGCCTTCACTTGCTATCGGAAATTTGATAATTCCCACTTCTGAAGTCGTGATTACGAGCTCGAAATGAAAGGGCGTTCATGTGCAGTTTTTACCTTGGAAACTCGTATTTACGATAATTCCGAGAGCACGTCAAGGCAGCATAAATAACATAATTCAGAGATTTTTTAGTCTAAAAGTGTACTCATTTGAACAATAAAATAGGGCTGCACGATAAATCGCATGCGATATTTAACGCGCATCTTGTCAGTAAAGCCGGTTCTGTAATCAGCGGTAAATGTCCATCACGTGCGGGCTTTCACATGGAGCAGCATTTACTACACGGAGCCGTTGTTCACTGACAAGCTGTGCAAAACCACAATCATATTTAAATATCGCATGCGATTTATCGTGCAGCCCTACAATAAAATGCTTATTTCAAATTTCTTTAGAGAAATGGGCGATGTGAGCATTATAGAGTGCTAAACACTCTCATCTAATGTCTGCTTCATTTATACTGGAAGCCGGAGGCGCCCTCCTGCAGAAAGTCCATAAAAGTCATGGGAAATCCCTTATTGGACAAAGACATTCAGATATAACTGCAGCTCAGAGCTGTATGATTCTGGATAAATTGAAATTATCGATTTTTTTTTTGTCTTTTTTTTTCCAAATAGACAACTAAACAAAATAACATGCAAATTACCAGAGGTTATAACAAAATATAATTTGCTGCAGTCTACTTTAATTGTTTAAAAATCAGTTTGAGCAAATTATTCAATGACTTACTAAAAAGACTTCATTTGTTTCATTACTGAATCTCTTAAATGAATGATTCAATGACAATTTTTTTTTGTCACTTGTCACCACCTACTGGTGTAATGAAGTCATTTATAGTCTTCTTTGTTTGAATGATCAAGTTACATTCAAAAGGTGATTCGCTCTGTTTTGATCACTACTGTAGACATCAGTTTTTATATCTGAACTATAAACTTTTATCCCAGTACTTCTGTAATAATTTGAAATATTGTAACAGAAATAATGATACTTCTGAGGGTTAGAAAAAAAACTATTGTAAAATAATGTCAATGGTTGTGAAATGGTATTATTTTACAGCAATTTCTAATTTTTAATATTTTTATTATTGTTTTTAAGATACTTTTTTTTTTTTCAGAAAAAGTTTTTTTTTTTTCACCCTCACCCTCCAAAATTTTAAACATGGAAAATATAAAAAAAATTAATTGAGACTATTGCAATATAAGTGGCCAGATAAAATAAAAATACAAAAGTAAATGAAAACTAAATGAAATTAATTTCTTTTGTTATGCTGCATTTACACCATTCAGGCTTAACATTTTGCTTAATTGTTAAAAGTAAAAGGGGGAAGCTTTGCGCATGAAACAAAAACTGCATTAAAGAAAAGACTGAGCAAAAGTTTCTTCCTGATTGTTGCTTTGGCAATGGGTGGAACTTCTGCAAAAGAAGTAAACACATTGGCTTTTGATTTTTGGAAAATTAATACATTTTTTTTACTACAATTTAGTAATTCTTAGTCCAGGTAAAATACTTTTGTCTGCATAACCATATTTTGCTATTTATCACCATCACAGGATGTGCAGACATAAAAGTCATCGAGGCAAGAAAACCAGCCGATCAGTGCGAGTAGGGTCTCTCTTTGAGAGATCAAAACTAAGCTTGTCATCTTGGCTAATATTCATTTACAGGTGAGTCTGTTGTCGGACAGCAGAGAAGGAATAGTAAAGTGTTACAATACATTTAAAAGTTTTTTGATTGTTTTAATTGACAACTCTGCTTTCCCTATTCTGAGTCATCATTGTGTACTTCACAGGTTCGCTCAGGGATTGCGGATCAGACAAATTGATATGATGCAAGATGGCATTGCAAAAAGTTCCAGAACGCTCTCTAAGATGGCTCGTATCATGAGGAAAGTTTGCCACTGTGCCATAAAACGATTCAGAAGAAGACATGGACAGATGATTGGAAGTGCTCGAGAATTTGCCGTTCTTGATGAAAGCAACTTCCGTCATAAACGAAAGGTGAATTTAGAACCTGTAAGGCAAATTCACACTGCAGTTGCCGACCACTGTTGTTGTCGTTTGAACATTTCTAATTAGCATTTATTTGGTCGTGGAATGTCTGAGACATGACATACTGTAATCTGGTGATTGTCCCTGTTTGTCAGTGTCTAGCGGTGCAGTGTGAATTGGCCTTTAGAAAATATGTGGAAATGCAGATAATAAAAAAAGATCATAATAGCATAAAACCTGATGATCAAATGTTACTTGATTACAAACTTGCTTATGATTTGTAGTAACATAGAAATAATGTATAACCTTAAATTAACCCCCCCCCCATAGACATGAAAATGTACTATCCAAACTTAAAGGATTACTTCACTTAAATGAAAATTACCCCAAGCTTTACTCACCCTCAAGCCATTCTAGGTGTATATGACTTTCTTCTTTCTGATGAACACAATCGAAGCTTTATAATGGCAGTGAGCGGGACCAACGAGTATGAGCTGAAGAAAGTGCATCCATCCATCATAAACATATTCCACATGGCTCAGGGGGGTTAATAAAGGCCTTCTGAAGCGAAGCGATGCGTTTGTGTAAAAAAAAAAAAACATATTTAACAAGTTAAATATCTAGCTTCCGCCAGACCGCCTTCGGAATTTAACTTGCGAAAAAAACTGAACTGGCGTCGCGTCAGTTAAGATTTTTCCGTAAGCTGAATAGGGAAGGCGTAGGACGTAGCGTAAGCTTTTTGAACTGCAAGAGTTTTACACTTTCTTTGTTAGTTGAATATGGAAGGCGGTCTGGCAGAAGCTAGATATTTTACTTCATAACTTGTTAAATATGGATATTTTTCTTACACAAATGCTTTGCTTCAGAAGGCCATTAATAACCCCCCGGAGCCGTGTGGAATATGTTTATGATGGATGGATGTGGATGGAGGCACTTTCTTCAGCTTCATACTTCTTGGTCTGGCTCACTGCCATTATAAAGCTCCCACAGATTTTCCTTTAATTTGTCACCCATCTGTATGTGTAAACATGTTAAATGAATATAATTATATAATATTATAGTATTTCTCTTTTTAATTACATATCTAACTTTTACAGTATGGAAGAGGGAGAGCATCGACAACATGGAGGCGAAAAAAATGGGTGTTTGGCATGCTAGGTGTGAGGGATAAATGCAGACACCCAATCTTGCGGCTTGTGAAAAGAAGATCAAGACCTCACCTCATCCCCATAGTTGTAAAACATGTGCGTACAGGCACTAACATTATTTCAGATGAGTGGAGAGCCTACCGGGGGGCTTTGGCCAATATGGGCTACAAACATTTTACAGTGAACCATTCCCAGTGGTTTGTAGACCCACACAGTGGAGCTCACTCACAACACATTGAAAGAGCTTGGCTGACATACAAAACAAGTGTATGGAGACTAAGAGGGAATAGGACAGAGAACATGCTAAAAGAACACCTCTCTCTCATAGAGTGGACTCATTGGCTTGGTGAAAAAAATAAACGGGGACCACTTGGGCGCCTAATAAAAGACATTCGCCATCAATTTCCTGTTTAGAGGACAACACACTGAACATTTGATAGACAATAACAAAAAGTCATTTTTCCAGCTAAAGTGAGTTCATTGAGGCTTCAATGATGTCATCGTCCAGTTCAGCGCTCTTCCAATAGTGTTTGTGCAATCAGTCAATAGAAATATACATAAGGAAATAAAAGTATAATAAATATTTTTGTATATTCATTTATATATTTTTGCATTTTTACATTTCTTTGTATATATATTTATGTATTTCTAATTTTGTCAGGTTTAGCATTCCATAGTTGCAGAGTTTAAGAGCGTTTTTTTAGTTGTATCTCCTTCTGCATAATGACTATACAAAAATTCACCCATATCACTTTTAAAACCTGCTCTGAGCGGAAGATGTTCTTTCAAACAGCCGTATGCTTCAGTGCAATGTTCACCAGAGCTTTTTAATATATGTCTTGATAATGATAATGAAAGATAGCTGGCATTTAAGCAATTTAAGTTATATATATATATATATATATACTGTATATACAGTATATATATAGTTTGTTCAAGCTCATGTTCTGTCCAGGCTGGACTATTGCAACTCTCTCTTGGCAGGTCTTCCAGCCAGTTCAATCAAACGTCTGAAACTAATCCAGAATGTGGCAGCAATTAAAAATTTTAAGTCATTAAATGTTGTGTTTTCAGCTGAATTTGGGGAAACCACTTGAAACATTCAATGTGTTGAGCAATTACTGTTGTTTGATTTGTTCATTGCAAACAGCTGAAAGTCTAAATTGTTCCAGTAAACCTGATTTGCAATGGGGGTTGAATAATTTTGATTGCAACTGTATATGTAAGGGATAATGCACGGCTAGCTCGGGCTACCACCCGACGTGTAAATCCATCTGTTTACCAAGAGTGTAAAAGGTGAGTATACAAAGATGGAGTGAATGCGACTGGTAGATTTGGTGTAGTCTGTGCTAATTTGAGGTCTGTATCATGATTTCTGAAACCTATGGTTCCAATCAGTTTATATATTTAGTGATCCAGAAACATTAAGCATGGCCAGTAGTCTGATACCAAATGGTTCCTTTTAGCCATTCAGAAACATCCAGTACTGTGTAGTCCGATTCCTGAACAGATGAAGTGAATTTTTTAGTGAAGAAGGCTTTTAGTGAATCAGAGACTTACAGCGTGGCCACTGCAGTCTGATTCCCAAAGCAATGACTTGACTCTGCTTCTTTTTAGCAAATGAAAAGTACTTACGAGTCATAGCGGTTACTGAATTATTCAGACTCACTAACTGGACTGCAAGTTATTACTTTTGTCATGTCTGACTCGAAGGAAACCAATAACTGTTACTATTACTGTTACTGTTAAGTACTCATGCTCATGAGACTCAAATCAGTTAACTGAGTGTTGTTTATTATTTGAGTTTGTTAATTATTTGAGACATTATGAATGTTGTTGTAATTAGAGGTTCTATATGAGTTCTATACAAACAATTTAATGATAAAATATAATAAAATGTTTTGTTTCTTATTTTAATTTAATATAGGTGATGGATTGCATGCCTCTAAACATTGGTGTAAACATTTGGCAACAGGCATTAATAGGCTTTGGTGCATGAAGTAGCATTTCATTTTTTCATATATTTCTTCACCAAAGAACCAGAATCACTAGATTTTATGATTCCTAAACATACAGTCTACCATTTCCTGCATGTCCAGAAGCTCCCTACAGGGGCCGATAGACGAGAGCTGTATCAAAGCTGTGAGAGCCTGACATCTCTTCACTATCCAGGGTTGTTTGTAACTTTGATCCCAGCTAAAATACGAGTCCATAATCTATAACACGTCCTCCAGTGGAAAAAGTCCATATCCTGTTGTCTCTCACGTCAAAATCAACTCACTTATTTGTTTAGAGCTGTTTCTGCTTGTAAACGCTGCTTGATCTGTGCAGATTTCTCTCCTGATTCAGACCGCTTTTTCACTGGAGGAAGTGTTATTATGAATTATGGCTATTTTAACTATTTTAGCAACAGTTTGAAGTTAAAATGTCTGAATGATGGATTTGTTTCAGATTTTGTCTTCTCCAGATGTTAACTGATGGACTGGAGTGCTGTGGATTACTTGTGGATTATTGTGATGTTTTTATCAGCTGTTTGGACTCTCATTCTGACGGCACCCATTCACTGCAGAGCATCCGCCCCTTAATCTGTAAACTTCCACTCAAGGCACCGTCATTTTGATTTCGCAAGCTCTAATGCCATGGCGAAAGTTTGAGCAAAACATGCACTTTGCATTTAAAGACACAGGCCCGAAAAACAGCTTGTTTCTGCTTCCACTCAAAATAGGCATTTTCAAAATTATATAATAAATGATCTGTGGAGTATTTTGAGCTGAAACTTCACAGACACATTCTGGGGACACCAGAGACTTATATTACATATTGTAAAAAGGGGCATAATATGTCACCTTTAAAGTGTTTGCCTGTGTAACATACATGTGGTAGACTTGCTCTGGACTCATGGCCTGGTCAGAGGATGAGTTCTTGGAAAGCAAAGCTGCAAACTGAGACAACCACGTAGAAACTGAGCATTCACGAAAGACCAATCGTATCCAGTGTCCCACTGCTCTCGTCTGCAAAAAAAAAATCTGGATTAAAATAGTCTAAGTGACTAAATGCGAATTATCTTTTTACATACTCTTTCTGATCATGTGAGACAAAGAATTGAGCCATGACATATTCTAGGCCTTGTTGTAGGAACAACGCAACCTCATGCTCACTGGCCGTGGTCGCCTCGTTCTGCTGCAGCAGGGCCAAGCCAGTATAAAACCTAACATAAAAAACATGTTTGTGAAGAACTGACAACAACCTGACCTAAAGTTATCCAGACCCAAATTAGACTAATATAAAACACTTTGTTCCATACTAGACTTTGAATATTCCAATTCCCAGTGTTATATTCATCAAAGAGCACTTCGGATGTAAAGGAAAATACAATAACGCATTATAAACCCATAATGCATTGTAACAAACTTAATGGCAAAGATATTTTACTATCTCTTTAGATTAACTTTAGAAAAAAAAATGCCATGCCAGAGGTATCTAACCCGGAGCAAATGCCCTAATCAGAGTAACACTCCAAAAGTCTAATGGTATCAGCTTGATAGGTCGGACTTGATAGCTGGCTGACAGGGCTGAAGGCCCAGCGCAGTCTGAAGGTGCTGCAGCGCCTGCTTGCTCCTCCCCTGCAGTAGCAGCAAACGGCCCACATGTAGGTTATATTCCCAGCTGTCTGCATTCAATGAGCAGGCATCCAGATACTTCAGCAGGGCTCGACAGAGCCAACACTTCTCATCAGACACAACACTACAGCCATCCTGCTGTGACAGACCACAGACACTACTGTGACCAATGCAATGAAAGAAAGCCAAAGTTTCTGTGATCTCAATTACATTGAATTACATTTGCATTAAATTTCTGTCAGAATGTAAGACAATAGTTCTATCACAAAACCTGCTGAGCTGCCTAGGGGTGTCGCAATGTACCGGTATTATATATTTAAATAATTAAATGTCTATATCATGTTAAAACAACACATATGTCCCTTTTGTTTGTGTTGGGAAGGTTACTTTGGAAATGTAATAGGTTACGGATTACAAGTTACCCTATTTAAAATGTAATAGCTAGTGTAACTATTGTAAAGTTACTTTAAAGTAATGTAACTGATTACATTTGATTACTTTTTTAAATTTCTAATGAATGTTTTCAACTGTTAATCATTTTTAAACATTTAAACCAGGCAGGGTTAACCTTACAGTACTCAACACAGTACTCAAGACTTTCAAAATCCTTCACTTAATTTTTAAGCAGAGCCACCACAAAATTAGTTTGTAGCACCTCTTTTGGTAACACTTTATTTTAAGGTGTCCTTGTTACACGTTACATGTACTTACTATTATAATAACAATTAATTATGCATAATTACATGCAAGTAACCATAAGCCAAACCCAAATCCTAACCCTAACCCTATAGTAAGTATGTGTAGTTAATTAATATTACTCAGTACTTAAATGTGTAATTACACGGTAACAAGGACATCTTAAAATAAAGTGTAACCCCTTTTTCTACTTTGAGATCGTTCTGAGGTTAAATACAGATTTAAAATCATAACAAGAAATAGTTTAATAGCTGTGATACTGTTTTTGAAATACCATTCAAGACGTATTTTAATAGGAATAGGACACATGCTTATTCAATGACTGTTTCATTTTCTATTTGGATTTGTGTATATGCTTTATTTTTTAAGATTAACTGTTTTTTCCAAGGCATTGTTAAATGCCAGTGTTTCCTGTCATAGCTATGCAAAGATTTGATTTCAAAAACGGTTGAAAACATTCCTTAGAAATGTAGAAAAGTAATCAAATGTAATCAGTTACATTACTTTAA